ATGTTCCGGAAGGTCTGTACTAATGTCACATGCAGTCCGGTGGCTCATATGTAAGTTTGTCCCCAGTCATGAGAGAGTCAATAGTCCCTTAGGGATGATGAAATGCACCTGCTGAGCTTTTCACGTACAAAATATTGAAAGTTTTTTACGATTGATTGATCACTAAGTAGTGACCAATGTCATGTATATCAAGTCCTTCTTAGAAGATAACGAATTCCACCGATCAAATTTCAATTTGACCATTAGTCTAAGTGATTAGTCATTGTGTGCACGATATAGAAATGTAAGATGCTTTGAAGTAGTCTACAGAAAACCCTAGACGTAGACATCGACCTACAAGAGATCATTTGTGACTCGAACAACTCAATGGTAACCTCTCTGTTTGTGAGGCTAACTGACATGGGATCGATTTCACGAGAAAAAATCGATTCCCCCCAAGATTGCAGTCACACCTTGCTGATGAATTTATTATTTATTTATTTATTTATTTATCTGAACATATAAATATTGGTATAAAGGGGCACCTAATATATACGCACCACACAAGCCACTTGATTTGTATGTGGGCTGTGATACTGCCCGGGTGCCCGAACCGAAGTAGGTGGTTTTCTTAAGGGGCCACACCCGGATCATTCGACCTAAAGGTCTGATCTATAAGACGGTGGAGCAACATAAGGAGATGTAGTCTCATGGTAGCCACTGATCAACAATAGGTTTATACGCCATTTATTCCTTCAGGATCCTATATCCCATGTGCACCGTTGGTTTGGAATCAGGGTCCACCAATCTTGTTAAAGTGCCAGACATTCGCTTTTCATCCTCTCAATTTCTTAAACAACAGTAATGCTACGGGAGAAGGCATTGAATAGGACTTCCCTTTCAGTGGTTGTATGCACGTGGCCATATGAGAGCATTTCAAAAAAGAGAACTGATTCTCCCCACTCTCGGCCGTACATGGGGCATTATTTATCATCAGTCACAATTGGTACCTGCATACTTTATTTTGTTATTGTTAGATAATTTAGACATGATAAAGATTTAACATTGTTAGTAGAACAAAAACTCATTTCTACCAATTAATGGTGATAATAAACTTATGGAAAGAAAGATGTTTGTTTTTTTCCTTCAAATTAGATAAGCAAAAGCATATAAACAATGTTCAATTCCATAGTGTTTAAATGTAACTAATTAGTTAATTGATTTTTGTTTTATCTTGCACACTTATGAGAAAAAGAAAACAACAACAACAACAAAAGCATCCTTTTTTATTCCCCCTCTATAGAACCACCTTCAATAGACCATGTTTATTTTATTGTTCAAGACATATGCTCATGTCGAATAATGATTCTCATAATTATCACCTTTCTATTCGTGTTAATGAATGATGAGTATGTAGTTTTGTATAGGTGTGTATGCTTAAAACAAACAAAAAAACGAAAAATAAAGGAATTCAATAATAAGTATGGTAATTTCCGTTTTGAATCATTTTTTTTTCAATATTCAATTATTATCATTTTTTAAGTTCAATGTTCATTATCTTAATCTTTCATATGATGTGTTTTCGCGTGAGTCAATAATGGAATTTGTTTGTTTTTCTTTATTTTATTGTTGTTGTTGTTGTTCTTTGTTGTTTTTGTGGTTGTTGTTTTCGTTGTTCCGATATTGTTTTTTAATGTAAGAAAGAATAAGATGGAGAGCTTCTTACCTACTGATACTCATGGAAGAACAATACATAGTTCGTATAAGAAAATATTTTCTTTTCAATACTGAACAAATTCATGATTAGCTTATGATTTGTATTACAGAACCTTGGTTAATGTTCAAATAATTCGGTTCATGATCTCGATCAAAAACTTAATAATCTCCACAAACCCTATACTAGTAATTAACATGTGCTCACTAGTGACTGGCTTCGTGAGGGAATTCTCGGAGTTCTAGTGAGAAGCCGTGACCAGTGGAGATAATCCATGTCGGGTAGAGACAGGTATCTACCTCAGTACAACGGAAGTTAGTCGCGCAATTTCGTGGATTGGTTGGTGTTAGACACTATCACCATCGGGTGCCGGCTCAGTGGTGCAGTTGGTTAGGCGTCCGCGCGCGAGACTGAAGATCGTGGGTTCGAATCCCGCAAGCACGATCATGGGTGCGCGCTGCTGGGGAGTCCCGCAATAGGACGAGACGGCCATCCAATGCTCCCAGGTTTTCAATGGTGGTCTAACATCAATCTGTTCATGATCTCAATCAAAATTCTCTTGAACTTGGAAAAATCTAGGAATTCATTCATTATGCTATTTTTTTAGTCTAATTGTCAAGGTACTGAAATTACTGCCAACTTGAGAACGTTTTTAAAACAAAACTTATATAATTCAACGGTTATTTGTAACATGGACTTATCAGGTAATTGGCGTTTTCAGTTAAAGGTGTTGTATTCGAGTTTTGGAGTGACCGTCAACTCTGACATACAGATATATCCATCTAATGAGTCCCGAATGGGACGAAACGCATGTCCTAGATTCCACTACGAGTCATTATCCATCTCTATTTTTTTTATTTATATGTGTGAAATAATTTTGTAAGTAAACTTGATTTTCTATTTCTATTTAGGTTTGAATCGTTGAATATTATGAGAATATGTAAGTCGACTAAAATGTTGATGTCTTAAACATCTAGTGCACCAAGCTCGTTTTAAAGCGTTAAATATTTTTAATGCATTCATTTGTACAATGCAATATTTAATGGGAGTTAGACAATGTTTGATGTAGGCTCTGTGGTTTGGAGATTAAACATTCGTGCAAGAGATCAAAAGTCCTAGGTTAGATTCCGCGATTTGAGGTCGTGGATGCACACTCTGAAAAGTCTAATTCCTGAATGAATTGGATTTCAGAGCTTTCAGGTTTTCAATGGGGCTTAACCATAATCAATTTATGATTTGAAAACTATGAAAACACTATAATCTCTCGACGATCCCATTCTAAAAATGTAATATTTGTTAAACTTTAACAGAATTAAAAAATTATAATCAAGTTACTTCAATAATATAAAGCTAACAATACTGGCAGTCATCACCGCAAATTAGGTTTAAGATTCTTACTTACAGGTCGAGTTTTCAATTTTCAGCTGAATGGTGTCTGCTACTTATGTCTGTCGACATAAGTAGTATGTAACACCAATCGGAAGTGGAAAACCGGGCAGCAGAACATTAAAAAGATCGAGTTGAAGAGAATGGAAGGCAAAATAGGGAAGAATCGTGAACTGAAGGAAACATACAGAATGTGAAGGACAAATGATGGAAATTTACAAATGAAGTATTCAATATAAGGTGGTATTATTTATGCATTTGATCGTTCCCAACTGACTTCTCTTCCATGACAGTATCATCACTGAAAATCTAGTTAACTTGGAAGTGTTATTATTCTATATTAACGTGTTATACTCAAGCGTTTTCTGACATACAATATGTTTACTTATTTCATTTTCATTGATTAATACTATTGTTTTCAGGCTGTAAACATCTGAAAAGAATCCATGAAATAAACAAATTCATGCAATCCTGTCATAATTTTTGTTCTTTATTTATTCAAACTCGACATTAATACTGACCTTGTTATTTTAACGAATGCTATGGACTGAAAGCTCTCATTCAAACAACATAATCATTATCCCTACTTACACTGTATGAGATCCTTCTCCGTCTCAAGATGATCAGCAAATACCACTTATGTTCATCTGTCTTTTCTTACGTTCAAATATACAGCTCCTTCAAACTAACATCGCATTCCTCTCCGTTTATTTCTGTAGTAACTTGAGTAAGGTATTTAAAAACCAGTGTTTTCCGAATCGGATACCTACAATTCCATGAATTAAACCCAATAAGTTCGTGTAAAGGAAGTAACAGTTACAAGTTGAGGTCCATCAGTTTGATTGAACAAAATATTTTTTACAGACATTATAAACTTTACATTGGATCAACGAGCTCTGTGGTTCCTGAATTCAATACCTGATAAGGTTGTGTAAGAGTAAAGAGGAGTAATCCCATACTAAGACTGAAAAGCTTTACAGTGTTTCCTGGCTTCTAATAATTGTCTAACCAAAATCAATTATTGATGTAATCCAAAAGTCAAGCATTGCTTCCTGCCTAATACTGGATTACTTACTTTTTCATGATTAAGTTAAGCCAGATAAGTAGCTAAACGTTCAAACAGAAAGATATAACCAGTTTGGGCTAATTAACCTGTCGGCATGAACAAATCGCCTACCAACTGAACTGTTTAATGTTTGATACTATATCATAGAAGTAGCTAAACTTGAAAAATGATTGGTCTCTGAAATTATACCTAACTATCAAAAAGGGTTCTATGGAGATTTTAGTAATTTTATAGTTGAATTCATGAGTCAATTGAAGCCAGACCACCATGGAAAACATGGAGGTACTGGACAGATGTTTCATCCTAGTATGAGACTCTTCAGCAATGCGCATCCACAAACCTGCCCCCCCAGAACCTATCAGTCTCGTGCGCGAATGCTTAACCTCTAGACCACTGAGCCGACCGGCATTCAACGGTGTTTTGCCTAATTGTCATATACTAATGTTCTCATATCGACACCTAAAAATTCTAAACTTCATCCTGTACATGGTGAACAGTGAACATTTTATATGTCCAGTCCTATCGAATTTCCATATAAAAACATATAAATATATATAGTAGTTTAATTAGTTGGAATCAGCCTCATATAGTAGCCGATTATGAAACAGATTACCTGTAAAGATTAGACAATAACATATCTAGACTAATCTAGGCTTTAGTTGTTCATGTATATTCCAATTATGTGTTTTTTAGTTTCTTATTGATATTGTCAATAGTTGTATATCTACTATTCTAACTATTTCCAACCATATATGTATTCGTTTTAAGTGAAATAATCATAATAGCATTACTGTCAAATTGAACAATTACACTATTCTAATAGATTTTAGTAACCATATGTAATTTTGTTTTAAAATGCATAAAACCAAGGTGAAATCATAGTTACACCCTCGAATATTTAATACCGTTGTTTATTCGTTTATAAGTAACAGTTACCACTGACACATTTACAAGAAATTACGCCCATCAATACTACTACTACTACTACTACTACTACTACTACTACTACTACTACTACTACTACCACTACTACTACTACTACCACTACTACTACTACTACTACTACTACTACTACTACTACTACTACTACTACCACTACTACTACTACTACCACTACTACTACTACCACTACTACTAACATTAATAATAATAATAATAATAATAATAATAATAATAATAATAATAATACGTTAGTTACTAGATTCATAAGCGTTGAATCTCAACGATGTTCGACGTGAAACTTTCATCAATGATGATGATATAATATACAAGTATAATAATGAATAAAATCAGTGGTAATATTAAGTTTTCATTTTTTATTTTGTATGCATCATCTAATGTACCAACTCATCCTCCCCCCTCTCAACAAATTTTCATCTCTGTTTTACTTCTTGTCTTAAGGTATTCAAAAACACTGTCAGTTATGAGGTGAACTATATAATGACTTGTTGTACTATTAACTCTTTGATACTATAGGATTGAAGATAGTTAGCAGGTAAGCATGGTTCTAAGTTTCTTTCTAGCCATCCTTCGTCAATAACGAGTATCTGCAATTTCCAGAGAATAATCTCCCTAGTAGATTCAAGTCAGTGTAAGCCAGCTTCATAATCTGACACTTTAGCATATACTATTCCCAGAACTATTGAGCTCCCTTGTTGCTAAGATATTTACACAGACTGGTCAGTTAGCAGCGACCAATATCATGTTCATTTAGTCCTTAACGTAGATCAAATTCTACTGACCAGGTAATAAGTTGACTATTGTTCTGGGGAATTGAACGATACAAGTCCAAACTTTTTTTAAACAAAGAAGATGAAAAAATACATTCTTCTGTCACAAAGCAAAATTGTTGAAAGTATCAGTAAATGCTGAAGCTAGATTATGTCACTACTCATTAATATCAATATTGGAATGAAGAAAACACTGTTTCTTTTGTAATTTTCATCTCTTTTTAAATGTCCAGTTTTAACTCCACAGGAGATTAAACATAAAAGAATTACGTTCCCTCAAAAAAAGTTAGACCATTAAATCTAGACTCTACAGATGGAATTTACAACTTGATTCGATTCATTATAAAGTACAATCTTTGGTCAGCCTTATTTGTATAGCAACTATTATACTTTTTACTTTGTTGATATTACATAAAATGACTTGGAAAATTGAATTAAATCAATCATCTAACCTACTTCATTTCGACTCTTTGATTGTGAATGATGAATTTCTCATTCCATTGTTTCAACGATCGATTTATCAAGGATTCTCTAATTGAATTCTATTCATGACAAAAACAAATCACTTTAAACCACCTATTAAAATATAAATAAATAATTTTTTTGGTTTGATATCACGGACTCACTTTGAATAGTAAATCATTGAAAACCAAAGAACAAAAAATGGATTGTGTAGCTGTTTCTCCCTGGTAATCTTACTCATCATCTGCATACAGACATGATCCCATCAACAATCAAATGCTAAGCCTTCAGCTGTCGCGGAGAGTAATTAATCTTCAGATCTTGCTGGGGCTTTATTCTCTGAGCTGGATGGTTTAGTCGTGAAGCTTTCATCGTTCTTCTGAACGACATCATCAGGTAGAAGTGAAATGCTCGAAATACTCCATATGTGGTTCACAGCTTGTCCTGTACACCTTGATGTTGATTGGTTCTTGTTGTTTACCTTAGATTTGTCATTGTTTACTTCTTTGTTATGATTATACGGGACAGGCTGTGAACCACATGTAGAGATATTAAAACATTTCACTTGTACCTGAAATTTGTGCTGATGATGTCATTCAGAAGAACGATGAAAGCTCCACGGTTAAACTATCCAGTTCAGAGAACAAAACTCCATCAAAATCATCCACCTGAACTACAAATCTTCTCCATAATCTTCAGATCACTGAATTAGTACTCAGTGATTCTTATTTGCCAGATTCAACCAAAATTCAACATACACTCTTTAATCCATACCGTTCTCTATAGGCATTAGCAAAGAAATCATCAGAATTCAGCTATATCATCAATCTAATTTCAAATATTTTAACTCACATTTTTCCCTATTGTTCTCATACGTAAACAATCTTCTGTTGTTAGAAAGATTGTTATTTCTGACATTATGGTTGTATATATTTGTACAACTGCAACAAAGATCAATATAATTGAATTTCATCTATTTTTTATTCTCATTTGATTTTTCTCGTTTTGTTTCATACTCTTACTCTCTCTCTCTCTCTCTCTCTCCTGTCACTCACTGTCTTTCTTCTTTTGTTTCTATCCCCTTCTTGTTTTACATTCTTCAACTGACTTATATTGATAACGATTAAGTAAAAAGAGAAAAAATATAGATAGTTCGAATAATTCTATCTAGAATATCATTGTTTCATAGGTCTATTTCTATTCGTTTATTTATTTTGTTTACTCTAAATATTTAAAATTAAAACAAAACTGTCAATTTCAATGATTAATACATATATTTACTCAATTCATCAATTAATTAGTCAGTTAATTAACTATTATTTTCAATAGTTGAATTCATGAGTCGATTAAAGCTAGGCCACCATGGAAAACCTGGAAGCATTGGATGGTCGTTTCGTCCTAGTATGTGACTTCTTAACAGTGTACATCCACGATACCATACACTTAATTCTAACTCAGGACCTTCGATCTCGCGGGTGATTGTTTAACCTCTAGACCACTGAGCCGACTGGCATCCAATGGTGTTAATGTCTAACTGCAACTAATCTACGATATTGTGAGACCGTCCACCTCTGTCTTCAGTGAGTAACTTTCACTACAATAGACAGCGTCGAAATCCACGCGTGCGGGATTGTGGATACACACTCCTGAGGAGTCCCATACTTGGTCGGAACGACTATCCAGTGCTTTCAGGTATTCTATAGTGGTCTAGCTTTAACCGACTCATGAACTCAGTTACTAAAAATTACTACAATATCCACAGAACACCTCCAATCTGATAATAATTAACTGTTTTTTAACTTCATTCTTTCTCTGTTTATCTTAAATAAAATTAAATACCAAACAGTATGATAATCATTTCAAACATCGTAAGTTATATCTAATATGCATCCACTGCCAGGGAAAACCTACTCACTGCATTCCCGTAACAGGGGTGTTGTTTACAAAATTGAGAGAACGAACATAGAAAATCCACCTGGAGGAGTTGGAAAACCTTGATTTCAAACCAATGGTGCACATGGGCTCCAGAATCCTGAGGAAACAAATGGCATATGAATCTATTGTTGATCACTGACTAGCATGGGACTGCATTTCTCACGTTGCTCAATTGTCTTGTGGATCAGACCTTTAGGTTGAATGCTCTGGGTGTGGCCCAATAAGGAAACCACCTGCTTCGATCTGGGCACACAGGCAATATCATAACCCACAGACAAATCGAATGATTTATGTGGTGCATATCTATTTAATGCCCCTTTATACCAATATTTATGTGTTCAAATAAATAAATAATATAAATGAACAATCATAATGTATTGAAATAGAAAGAATCGACTGACTGTTGAATTGACCCGAACTGAATTTTTGTCTGTTTGTTTTTAATTTAATTTTTCAAAGTTTTTGTCATCCTGTTATCTATCACTTATTTTGTTCTATTTAAGGATAAGAACCATGATAGATGACATTGATAATTGAACAAGTTTTGTTTTGTCAAGTCGAAAACTTTAAATTTCTCTGGTATATTTTAACTTTAAAAAAGAAAAACTAACTTCAGCTTTCGAGATCTAAAAAGAAATAATACTCAGAACAAAACGGATTAACATTTTATGACATAAGATAAGCGAGTTTGCTCGAAGAAATACATTGACTTGAGTAGAAGTAGTAGCAGCAAACATCGAGGAAACAAAGCTGAATCAAAGAAAATTTGCTCCAATATTTAGAGTGTTTACATTAATTGCGGCATTTCAATACACTGAAACATTAAATTATGTAACTATACAAAAGAAATAGCTGGGGAAAATAATACAGAAAGAAGAAAACCAACCTCCCTTGCTTATAAAGATGATGGATATAATCATTCCCGCTTCATTCTGATTGGTCGCTAAGATGGCTTCCATGATTACGAAATCGAATTGAGTTTAATTGCAGCCTATTTTCAACAAAAGAATATATTAATCAGTTCAATCTGTTTTTATTAAAACAGCAGCAACCTACTGTGGGAGAGAACAAACCAGATTCCAGTAAAGGAAGAAATAAGGAAGAAGCACTGGAAGTGGATAGGACACACATTGAGGAAATTACCCAAATGAGTCACGAGGCAAGCCCTTACATGGAATCCTCAAGGCCAAAGGAAAAGAAGACCAAAGACCGTCGAGAAATGGAGACAGACATGAGAAGAATGAACAATAATTGGATAGAACTAGAAAGGAAGGCGGAGGACAGAGTGGGTTGGAGAATTCTAGTCAGTAGCCTATGCTCCATTGGGAGTAACAGGCGTAAGTAATAAAAAAGATAAGTGTTTTAATACATGTTTGCTTAAACAAGCACTCCAATCTACAAATATGCTATAAATCTAACATAATTTAACTCTAGAATGGATATTCAAGTTGATTTATTTTAATTTAGACAGACATTTGTCTATGCACACAATTTAGAAACACTTAAAATTATGTAATCATGAATGGTCTATTGGAAAAGGTTGTGTGGGGATTGTTTAAGTCTGTTGGTAAATTTTATTAGGGATTGATCTCATTCTGTGAATCAATAAATACCAGAGGGTAATGATAAGCTGTTTTATTTTAGTATGGAACTCCTAGGTAGTCGTTGCCCAAAACTTAACTAGGGATCATATCAAGGACCTAAACGTTTAGCGATAAATGTATAATCATCAAAACCACTGAATCTGCTTCCCTACTAGAGTCGTGAGTGAGTACTAGTGAAGAGTCTCATACTAGGACAAAACAGATGTCTAATTGTCCCTAGTTTTCATTGGTTTCTTTAACGATCACAATCAGCATTTATAATTTTTAGTAAGATATGAAGTAGACGATCAATTAGGTTTTTTCGTAGCTGACCAACTGTTCAATACCCATCTGTGACATCATTGTGACAAAATAGTATCCTCAAATTTTAAAAAGAATCTTCCAAAATTCAGTTTTATGAATTATCATCAAATGTGCAATACTATGCTTAGTTACAAACATCTCATTAAACATTGAAATTATTAACTCTGTGAATTACGTAAGTAGCTGACCGCTTTATTAGTAAGC